TGTTATTCTGCTCCTTTCTCCTCCTGCTGCTTCCATTTCTTCTTCTTTTCCGTTTACCTGCACACATTGATATTGATACGTACTTGGCTAGTACGCGCGCGATTCGCAAATCCATAAACGTTGTACACGAACGAATGGAACGGCAATGTCGTGCCATTATTGCGTACATTGACTCTTGACGGTGGAAGATCACCGATACTTGGAAAAATTTCTGATAACGATTGGACTTGGACCTTACTATACCAAGTACATAGTCGGTTAACCGTAAGCGGACTTTCAATGATTCGCACCCAATAAAATAGTTTGTAGTTGATCTGCTTGTTTAACTTACACTCGAAGTGCATCGGTCGAAGCAAATTTTCTCATTTTTACAACTTTCTCCTATGATAGTTGCACGATAGCGTTGCATGCCCGAACCATCGTGATTAGCGGTGTTCGTCCGAGTACTCGAAAATACGTTTATACCAGTAAACTAGCAAACTAGCAAACTAGCAAACTAGCAAACTAGCAATCGGCATCGGCAAAAACTTAGCCAAGTGTAAACAAGGTAAGAGAGAGAGAGTTGACGGCGGTAGGAGAGAGGAGGAGGAATGCACGCGGATCGACGAACAGTCATGGATCGAAATTGTGACGTAAACAAACGGCCGGTTCGTAAGCAACGGCATGATTCATAACGCGTGACAACCTTACCCGGTACGATTCGACGAGTTTATAGCTTTTCTTTCTTTCGAAAGCTAGCCATTAAGAGAGTTTCCAACCCATCGTATTTCAAGGGAATCCAAACACGTTTCGGAATGGAAAACAAACGCGCAAACTTTTCTGTTCGTCCCTTAGTTGCACCGCAGTGCATTGCTATTTATCGAATTCCAGGAAATTCCCCTTCCTCGGAGTCATCGCGAAAGCTACGAGAGTTTCGATAGTTACGAACAATTACCGAAACATCCTATCGGAATCAATTGGCAATACTATACAGTCTCCTAATCTCTAATGACTGGCGAACCAACGTGTTCGTTGACAAGCCTTTTCTCGCATCATTAGAACCGCAACGAAGCAGTGTTCCGTGTCTCTAGAAACGAACTCGTCGATCCTCGACCGAGGGAAAATCATCCAGCGAAACTACTCACCATATTCGAGCCGTCGACGAACGCGACCGATTTTTTGTCAGTGCACGTCTTTGTATTTCTCAACGAATGCGCGGACAAATGAATCTCCTTGGAGTGTCTCGATTCCTCCTTCCATAGCAAAATGTTCTCCAGTTCTCTTCGGAAGGTCAGCATTTGGGGTTTTTCATTTGCTAAGTTTAAGCAAACACTTGCAATTTCATGCTCAAATAAACACTTTCTACGTGCAACAAAATTAATATGAACTTACAGCTTATCAAATTCCATTTGTCGATTACACGGGAGTACGCGTTAACCACTGTTCTATAATTGGTAGCGAAGTTGCATGTTATGCGCACAGCCGAGAACCAGCGACAGAGCGAAACCACTACAGACTGTTCAACATAGAAAAAGACAAGTAAACAGGAGGGAGAAATATGTGATGCGAGAGAATAAGGGAGAGTAAGAGAGAGTAAGAGAGTGTAAGAGAGAGTAAGAGAAAATAAGAGAGAGAGAGAGAGAGAGAGAGAGAGAGAGAGAG